CCCTAGCGACCAGCCACAATCTTCTACTGCTTTTATTAATACTCACACCAGCAAGGCATTGTGGTTCATTAAGAAGGGACAGAGTAGACTTTTTTCCCCTCTTCGTGAGCCCCGAGGTCCACATGGAGTGTGAAGACCCACATGGGTCAAGCAAACATGGCTTGAGATGAAAAGTGGGAGGCAGAAGGAGCAAATAGTTACCCTCCCCTCTCGGGAGTGTTGCAGGAAACTGGGCATACGCAACTTCCAAATTTGCATTCCCCACCTAATTAAAAAAACAAAACCCAACAACTATCTGGAGCGCTGAAAGTGCGCCGCAGTTTTCCATTTGGATTTGTTGCATACGTTGACTTCCACCAGTCAAATATTTTGCAAAAAAAAGAACTGACTTTGGCGTTCTGTTGTAACCTGACTACAAAGCAGCCCTCCTCTGATCGTCTGGCAGGGGAGGTTTAGATTAGATCTTAGGAAGATTTATTTAACTGAGAGGGTGGTCAGGCACTGGAAGGGCCTGCTCAGGGAGGTGGTGGAGTCACCATCCCTGGAGGGATTTAAGAAACGTGTAGACGTGGCACTTCAGGGCATGCTCTAGTGCCTGAGGTTGTGGGGTTTTGTCTGTCTGTGGGTGGGTGTGAGGTGTGTTTTGTTGGGTTCTTTTTTTTCCTTTTTTTTTCTTATTTTTGGTGGTTGGACTCAATCATCTCAAAGGTCCCTTCCAACCATGAACATTGTGTGATTCTGTCTGGATATTACCTGGCATAAAGCTGCAGAGATATATTGTTTCTACAGATCTGTTTCATTTCCCACATTCCTAACATCTGGTTGACCGACCCGATAGAGTGAGGATAAACCTCAGGTCAATGTGTCAACTGGGAGACAGAGCGAAAGGCTTCCTTCCCACAGCTGAAGAATTCTTTCAAGGCAGGTCATTCCTACCCACGTTCAACTCCACCGTGTTTCCACCAAGGACCTGCTGAGCCCCAGCAGCATCAGGAGCACACGTGGGTGCCGGGAGCGCTCACACCTTTAGTTTCTCCCCACCCCACATTCCCAGGGTGGGGTGATTATGGGATTAGGAAGACAGAGAGGGAAAGCAGGTGGTTGGAGAAGAGGCACGAGAAGTATCTGTCTAGGAAACAAGCACATACTGGGCAAGGAACCCTCCCTTCTCTCTGAGCGACTGCCGCTCCACGCGGATTCATTCCCGGGTGACTCCCAGCAAAGCGCACAGCTTCCTGGATGGACTGGAATATCCCTGGAAAATCTCCTGCCTCCCAGCATCTGATGGCCAAGTCCTAGGGGAAGGGGGGCTGCGGGTGGCTGCTCCGCACATCTCGGGGAAAACAAGTTAAAAATTCCGCAGGGAGACTCTGAACTTTCACAAAGTCTAAATTCAAGATTTCACCTCGTCCGGATAAAAAGATAAAGAGGACTAAGAGGCAGCAAACAGCAAAATACTTCATCCCCGCACGCATAAAAGGTTAATCTCTGGGTTTAAGCAGATCACAAGACAAGTGAAACAGGTAGCGTGACTCCTTAAGCCTGGAGGAAAAAGTCTGCCTTAAACTCCTGAACCTCTGTCATGCTCCCAAGCTCCTGGGGTGGCCACCGAAAAGGTCACATTCACTTAAGGATGCAAAAGCAAACAAGTGGGCACAGTCTCAAAGTGCTTCCTAAAAAGCAACGGCAGCAATAGAAGTTCCACTGAGGTCTCAAAGTAGAAGAAATGTCACAGAATCACAGAATCTTCATGGTTGGGAAGGACCTCTGGGATCACCGAGTCCAACCACACACACACACACACAAAAGACCCCCACATGATCCACCAGAGCATGCCCTGAAGTGCCACCTCTACACGTTTCTCCAATCCCTCCAGGGATGGTGACTCCACCACCTCCCTGGGCAGGCCGTGCCAGTGGTATGTCCTAAACCATGAGGGAATATACCTGTGAAACTAATGGGAACAAAGAGGGCAGCTTTCTGCTGTAGGGTACCAGGGCAAGAAGAGTTCCAACACTGTATAGCTTCAAAATGAAGAAATCTCCCCAAAAGCAGTAAGGCTTGGGTGCTCCCCACATAGAGACAATTAGCCACAGACATACACAGGGGATTCCTCCTGCTGCTGAAGACCAGAACTGTCCTACTTGATTGGTCTCAGCACCTTTTTTCCCCATTCCCTCAACCTTCTGTCAAGGAAGACAACTGGAGAAAAGGCACGTGTCAAGGCCAAGCAAGGGAGAAGGAACACAACCAGTGCCCATTACAGGGACAAGACAGCTCTGGAGTGGAGGAGCCAGTAGTTGTCAAAGGTGTCTGAGGTGACTGGAGGAATCCCTGTGCAGCCTCTAATCATAAAGTAGAAGCTTTAAGAAGGCCACACCAGATGTCCCACTCTTGGTCCCACAGCCTTAGAGGCCTCAGACCTTCCACTGGGTTCAGTGCTCTGTCTGTCCCATGAACCTGAGGCGAGCTCCTCCATCCCTCCCAAATGAAAAACACCTTATGACACACTAGAAGGAATCTAGTGACACCCTGTTTATCAAAATCACTGTCGTGTTGTTGTACGTTGACTGCTGCGTGACGGCAACAATGTGTGGGAGGAGTATTTGGCACACACACCCAACCCAACATCGCTGCCCACAGCTGTACAGGTGGGACTTCTCTGGGGACCCAACAGTCCCCATATTCTGTGGTCAGACGACCTGCTGCCTTCTGCCAGTGCAGGTTCTCTCTGGAAAGGAGAGAAAAGCTGGGATTTGGAAAAGAACAGTTTACATAAGATGGGACTTGTAGGGCTCTCTCCAGGGAGAAGGGTGCTCCTCTTCCTAGAGCAGAGAAGGAAGAAAGGACTAGAGGCTGAGTGTCTCGGAGCAAGTTGTGCATGGCCAACAAGATGGATGAGAGTAGGTGTCTTCTGTCCCTGGTTATGCTGCCTTCTTCCATGATCCTAAGGGAATTCACAGCCGAGGAACAGACTGGAAATGAAGCCCAAGACCCAGACGCCAGAATCTAATTCCTGTATATTGGTACCTACAAAGCTGAACCAATTCACTTCTGCAGCTCTGGAAACACCTGACAACTTTATAGGAGAGAGAAGGGGACGGGGTAATGGCTTTATGGCTTCAGTGGCCAAACACAGAAGATAGCGCAATGTCCCTGGTTGAGAAACACAAGCTGTGAGACTACACCACAGCCAAAGCATGACACGACTGAGATCTCCACCCACATTGGCCTCTGTGGACTCAGAAGGCAGAAAAGCCATGGTGTGAGTCCACATTCAGCTTGTCATGAGACAGAGAGTAGCCACAGGTGGAAACTGCAGCTCAGAAATACAATCTCATTAAGCCTGGCATTAGAAACCCCATGGCTGTACCCTGCTCGGTGTGGGTCCACCACCATTACAGAGGGGCTTGGGAAAAGGTGGCAAATGCTCCTTGGGGTTTCCCATGGGAAGAAAAATCTTGGAGAGAACAAGAACAGGCATGAGCAACTGCCATCATCTACTTGGACTTGAGCAAAGCATTTGACACTGTCCCGCCCAACATCCTGGTCTCTAAATTGGAGAGACATGGATTTGACGGATGGATCACTTGGTGGATAAGGAACTGGCTGGATGGCTGCACTCAAAGAGTTGCAGTCAACGGCTCAATGTCCAAGTGGTGAGCAGTGACAAGTGGGGTTCTTCAGGGATCATCTTTGACAGTGACATGGATATTGGGATTGAGTGCACCCTCAGCAAGTTTACTGATGACACCAAGCTGTGTGGGGTGGTCGACACGCTGGAGGGAAGGGATGCCATCCAGAGGGACCTGGACAGGCTGGAGAGGGGGGACCATGTGAACCTCATGAAGTTCAACCAGGCCAAGTGCAAGGTCCTGCACCTGGGTTGGGGCAATCCCAGGCACAAATCCAGGCTGGGCAGAGAGAATGGATGGAGAGCAGCCTGAGGAGAAGGTTGGGGGTGTGGGTGGATGAAAACCTCAACATGAGCATGCAATGTGTGCTGGCAGCGCAGAAAGCCAACCCCATCCTGGGCTGCATCCCCAGCAGCGTGGCCAGCAGGGCCAGGGGGGGATTCTGCCCCTCTGCTCCGCTCTGGGGAGACACCCCCCAGTGCTGCCTCCAGCTCTGGGGCCACCACCAGCAGAAGGACATGGAGCTGTTGGAGCGGGGCCAGAGGAGGCCCCGGAGATGCTGGGAGGGCTGGAGCCCCTCTGCTGGGAGGGGGGGCTGAGAGAGTTGGGGGGGTTCAGCCTGGAGAAGAGAAGGCTCTGGGGAGACCTTGGAGCCCCTTCCAGGCCCTCAAGGGGCTCCAGGAGAGATGGGGAGGGACTCTGGATCAGGGAGGGGAGCCCTAGGAGGAGGGGGAAGGGTTTGAAACTGAAAGAGGGGAGATGGAGCTGAGATGTGGGGAAGAACCTGTTTGGTGTGAGGGTGGTGAGAGCCTGGCCCAGGTTGCCCCGAGAAGCTGTGGCTGCCCCATCCCTGGAGGGGTTCAAGGGCAGGTTGGAGGAGGCTTGGAGCAACCTGGTCTGGTGGGAGGTGTCCCTGCCCAGGGCAGGGGGTGGCACTGGATGGTCTTCAGTTTCTCTTCCAACCCAAACCATTCTGTGATTCTGTGTCGGACTGGAAAGGGCATTAATACCTACCACGTGATGCAAGGCGTGATGCCAGAAAGCTTAACTAACGAAGCCATAAAAGCAAAATGCTCATTTATACCGCGAGGCGAGTACCAGTAACACATCCCATCACTCTAAAAGTCTCAGGTTCAGCTCTCAGCTGGGAGCCCTCAGTGGCAAATGCACACACAGATGTGACCCAAAGGATAAATCTATTTTCCAGTGGCAAGTGGATCACTGCTAGGGCTACCTCAGTACTGCATGCAATAATTGTCTTTAATCAAAACAATATTTTTCATTTGTAGTCCCTCAAAAAAAAAAATATCATTTTTCATTAAGCATTTGCAATTAATGATGAATTATGTAGTACAAATCCATTACCTTCTACATCAGGGTCTCCAAATGGATTTATTTCTGCTGTGTCAGGGTCACCAAAAGGGTTCGTGCTACTGTCGGCCAGGTCTTGCTCCTCTTCATCCAGAAAATTAAGCTTATTGATAAGCTCTAGAAACAAGGCGGAATATTGTTTTAATATATATATACAAAGTGTTCATCTCACATATTTCAAGCTGAGAAAAACCCCAACAGTCCCTCGAAACACTGCACCAGGGTATGGCCCGAACCGCACAACTAAGCTAACGCACTTCATGGTACACCAACAAAGGAGGGGAGAAAAAAAAAGGTGAAATGAATGAACCTTCTCTTTGCTGATCAGAACATCACGAAACAGAAATGACTACTAAGAACGCCTTCCATTCTCTTCGTTAAATACATGTTGCAGAACATCTAACGAGCTAAATGCAGCAATTTCTTTCTGCTCCTTCACACACGTGTTAACTATCGGCAGGAAATTTGGAGTTTTGGATGGAAGGTGCACGTGAAATCAGAGAGGGGAGATTTTGTCAAGTTAGAGAGGTCAAATATTATTGACTAATGTTTTAGGCTGGGGCTCTGGGGTTTATTTTTGTAATTTTTTTTTTTCTTTCTTGTTCGTGATCAGATGACAACGGAGCTCCAGAGGAGCCAGGCTCTTTCTCTATCGTGTTGCTACCTACAAATGACTGCGAGTCATGCTGGGTGGAGACAGAGAGATCAAACCCACAGCTGAACACAAGCAGGAGTCAAAAGGTAACAGGTGGCAGTAAATACAGACAATCAGAAACGGAAAGAAAGGTGGAAAGCTCATAGACCTTCAGAGGAACTGGCTGATTTAGCTGAAGGCATATTTGCTCGCTTTACGAAGTCATCTTGATCTTCATCTAAGCTGCTCAGAGCATTCAACTGGTTTACAATTTCTGCAAATAGAAGCCAGTCAAGACAAACGTAAGGCAGGGGCACGTAACGAAACAGGAGTGGACCCAACACTGTTATTATAAAGAGAGAGAGCCAGCGTAAAAGAGAAGACACTGAAGAGCTAATTAAAAGAGCACATTTCGAGCCAGTCCTTACAGTGAGGCACCTACAGCAAAGCATCCCTGGGCGGGCTTCAGTCATAATTCAACAAGAAACTCAGTTAACAGACAGAAACAAAGCCTTGCCAGTAATTAGTTTTACGAGGATGAGTATGCAAATCAGTTCAAAACTTAGACGGACTAGATAGAATTTGCAGGCTTTTCCTGCTCAGGAAGAAAACTTGTCTTTCAAACCATTGTCAATGACCACAACACAGCCCCAGAACAATTCACCCCCCCATCCTTAAGCCTACAGAAAACTAATTCATACACCTGCATTTTATATATTTTATTTATTTATACACACACACACACACACACTGACTATTTAATGTTTACAACCAGTCACCATTACATTCTGACCTGTGGCAAGCTGAAGTCACCTACTAGTTCTGAATGCTCCAGTCAGTAATTGTGCCATGGGGATGCAAAGGGAAGGCACGGATTGGAGGAGTTTGCCACTGGAAATGCCCTGCACTTAACACCTCTCTAAAATCCTATCTCACCTTCTGTCCACAAGGTGAACTACCATGAATTAATGATTTTTTAAAAATATTAAACTTCATGCTTAATTCTAATCAAGTTGTTGATGCCTCCATAATTCCGGAAGGAAGGCAAGAAACAAAAACCAATGAGGTCTTAGTGGCTTTCTGCTTCCCCAAGGGCAGAAATTCCTCTCTGCTCCCCCTCCAAAGCAGCCCCATCCACCCCATCCGTTAAACGGAGTGTCCTTGTTAAGGGAGCATCTCTGAAGGCCCCCAGGCATGGGGTTCCTGGGGAGAGGGGACCAGCTCCCTCCTCCTCCCAGCTGGCAAATGGGCCAGAGGAACCTGTGCAGGAGACATGATCCCGCTGTTGAAGATCATTGTCCCTCCGACAGGTTTCTTCCATCTCCTGCTGTTTCCTAATGCAATAGCTGATGTCTTCTGGTGTCACCAGTGAAGTTAAAGCCATATATCATAGAATCATAGAATTGTCTAGGTTGGAAGGGACCTTTAAGATCATCTCGTCCAACCATCAACCTACCTCTCATAAAAAAAAAAACAAAAGAAAACCATACAAAAGAACCCCCCCATTACTAAACTATGGAGATGCCTTCACTGCACATTTCTCATGCCAATCATCCTTGGATTCCACTTAAACTTCAATTCCTTGACACACATGGGAAGTCACTTCTCTGGAACACTTGTAGTTCGCTGCTGTGGGGCACTTGACTTTTTCTCATAGGGCTCTTGTTTGGGGAAGCAAACGCTTGTCACCGCCCCCCCTACAGTAATCTTCATCCTACTGACCGGTTATGGGGAGCACCATCTCAGAGTGAGGTGACAAATGAGTAGTAACAAGGCTGTCCCAACTCACGGTGGTGACCGCAGCCACCCAGAGCACACAAACCCCCCCAACAAGGGGGGACCCGTGCTTTTCCATGGGGCACTGCCTTCCCCAGCTGACACCCTGACACAACTCTGCCTTCCGTGCCTTCACAGCCAGCATGAAGAACCCAAAGCCAAAAGCAGAGTCCAGAACGTGACAATATTTCAGGCATATGGTTAAAAAACCCTTCTTTTCCAAACTGGCCACTTTGCGAAGATACACCAATTTGTGAATTACCAGCACAGGTTGGGGGTGACCTGCTGGAGAGCAGCTCTGAGGAGAAAGACCTGGGAGTTCTGGTGGACAACAGGATGCCCATGAGCCAGCAATGGGCCCTGGTGACCAAGAAGGCCAATGGCATCCTGGGGGGCATCAGGAAGAGGGTGACCAGCAGGTTGAGGGAGGTCATCCTGCCCCTCTGCTCTGCCCTGGGGAGGCCCCATCTGGAGCACTGGGTCCAGTTCTGGGCTCCCCAGTTCCAGAAGGACAGGGAACTGTTGGAGAACGTACAGCAGAGGGCTACAAAGATGATGAGGGGACTGGAGCATCTCCCTTATGAGGAGAGGCTGAGGGACTTGGGTCTTTTTAGTCTGGAGAGGAGAAGGCTGAGGGGGGATCTGATCAATGCTTATAAATACTTAAAGGGAGGGTGTCAGGAGGCTGGGGCTGGTCTTTTTCCAGTGGTGCCCAGGGACAGGACAAGAGGAAATGGGCACAAACTTGAACATAGGAAGTTCTACCTAAACATGAGGATGAACTTTGTTCCTGCGAGGGTGGCAGAGCCCTGGAATAGGTCCACCAGGGAGGTGGTGGAGTCTCCTTCTCTGGAGACATTCAAACCCACCTGGACACGTTCCTGTGCAACCTGCTCTGGGTGGACCTGCTCTGGCAGGGGATTGGACTAGATGATCTCCAGAGGTCCCTTCCAACCCCATGTGATTCTGTGACTCTGTGATTCTGAGTGAAATGATCGATTCTGCCAATATCTACTGGACAGAAGCTGTGCTGGCAATGACAAAGCCACAGCAGTGGTTCCTCTTAACCACACCTCCAAACTGTTCCTCACCTTAACACAAAAACCCAGATGGGATCACCTTTATACCTGTCTCCACAGGGTTAACTTCACCCTCCCCACTACCAACAAACAAGACAAGATAACACCAAATCTGCCCCCAAACTCTTCACCTCCTCGGTATAAATATCATAGATACACCTCCAAGATCTGAACACCACACTAGTATCTTCTGGGAATTTTTAAGACTCGAGACACACAATGGAAAACACTTTGCTGTACTCAAATAAAAGAGAGCTGACCTTATAAAACACCAGTACAAACAAATTACTAGTTGAAGACAGGCTGAGATGCTGACATGATTTACAATTTATTATGCCAACACGTGAAAAAAAAAAAAAAGCAAAACAAAACAAAACAATTACAATTCAGTTTTTATTGTCAGAAATTAACAAATTAAGTTCAGGGCTTTAAAAAGAGGGAATTCTTTGATGTGGTCTGAATCACCTGGTCCCATCTGCCAACCCAAACACCTGTGCGCACTACAATGTTTCTCATTACAATATTAAATGGTTTATGTCATATTTTGGAGTGTGGAAGCGGTAGGTTGGAGATTTATGTCCTTTATTATCTTTTATAAATCTCATTATCTACAAAGGTATATTACCTTGTTCTACAAGTATGTCATATAAATCACCGGGGTGGTTTTTTTTTCATTCTTCTCTCTTGCTCTTTTTTTTTTTTTCCTTTTTCTTTTTAAAGCAGCTTGCTGCTACTGAACAGAGAAGATTAAAGGTCCCAGAAGTTCACACGGGAGGTACGGTTGTGCAAGTGGCAAGTAGGGGTTACACACACATGCCCTCCAGAAGCCTGCTCTTGAAATATACTGGGATTCAGACTCCTGCAACGGGGAGCACATGGGCCCATTGCTGAGTCCATGTGGAACCCCAGGACACTCACCCTGCATCAGGCTCCAGGTACCAATTAAAACATTAAGAGAAGCAAGGCATTTATTGCTGCCCCAGGTCTGTGAGGTGGGAGCCACACTTCTTCAAGCACAGGGGAGACTTTGTCTTCAGCTGCAGCCTAAGGGCAGGATGGTTCTGGGAGGTTTCAGATCATCTGTATTAACAGTGTAGGGCAAAATATTTGAAACATATTTCATGGCTACAAACATCATTTTCAAGTCCACATAAAGCAGAACAGTCAGGTGGAGACAGAGCTTTTACACATGAATAATTTAAACGAGAAATATTAGGAAGGACGGGCAAAAGTCTGAGATGGAGGGAGATCTATATTGCTTTTTTTAAAAAATGAAAGTGGTGCTTTCGATGGAGAAAATCTTTCAGTCTGATCTTAAGGTCAGTTGTATGGCACCCCTTGGCACGGTGACCGCACCAAATTCCACAGAGTTTTCGAGGTAGGTCAGTATCAGACCCTTTATTTTGGAGCTGAAAAATCATAGAATGATAGAATCATGGAATCACATGGGGTTGGAAGGGACCTCTGGAGATCATCTAGTCCAACCCCCCCACCGGAGTGGGTCTACCTAGAGCAGGTTGCACAGGAATGTGTCCAGGTGGGTTTGAATGTCTCCAGAGAAGGAGACTCCACCACCTCCCTGGGCAGCCTCTGCCAGGGCTCTGCCACCCTCACAGCAAAGAAGTTCCTCCTCATGTTTAGGTGAAACTTCTTGTGTTCAAGTTTGTGCCCATTTCCTCTTGTCCTGTCCCTGGGCACCACTGAAAAAAGACCAGCCCCATCCTCTTGACACCCTCCCTTTCAGTATTAATAAGCATTGATCAGATCCCCCCTCAGCCTTCTCTTCTCCAGACTAAAAAGACCCAAGTCCCTCAGCCTCTCTTCATAAGAGAGATGCTCCAGGCCCTTCATCATCTTTGTGGCCCTTTGCTGTAAGAAACTGAGGCACAGAGCCTTACCCCAAGCTCGTCACCACCTCAAGGCAGACAAGCAGCCTTTCCTAACTCTCCTGCACCACCTAGAGCCCCGTGCAGCAGGTCTCCCTCCTTCTCCTCGCAGTGGGTAGATTTGTTCATCTATAAAACTGCAACTTTGGGCCCCATAAACAAATAAAAAAAAAAAAACTAACTCTTGTGCACTACAAAAAGGGACTACAAAGAAGGACATTGTCCTTCTGGACAACGTTTCGGTCACCAGGTCATCCAGTGTTTGTTTCCATGAGAAGGTTTTGAGTTGAAAGAAAGATAATAATCCCTTCCCTTTTCATAGAATCATAGAATCATAGAATTGCCCAGGCCGGAAGGGACCTCCAAAGGTCATCTAGTCCGACCTCCCCACAGTCAGCAGAGACAGCCCCAACTAGACCAGGTTGCCCAGGGCCTCATCAAGCCTCACCTTGAATATCTCCAGGGAAGGGGCCTCAACCACCTCCCTGGGCAACCTGTTCCAGTGCTCCACCACCCTCATAGTAAAGAACCCTCTCCTGATCTCCAGTCTAAATCTGTTCCCCTCCAGCTTGAAGCCATTTACTGCTTGCCCTTTTCCATTTTCGAAGCTGGCTCACCAACGTTAAGCGTGTCCCACCTCCCTGGGGTGCAGGCAGCACCCCCATTCCGCAGGTGGGGAAGCGGGCGCAGTGAGGCGCAGTGATTTCCCAGGGGTAGGGGGGGGACACACACTGTGAGTCAGCACAGGCGATCCAGCCCGCTCGGCTGCCAACACCCCGGCACAGCGAGGGGTGAGAAAACCTCAGGAGCCAGCAAGCTCTCAAAAGTCACCTTATGTAACTCCTGCAATTAACTTGATGAGACTCTGTGAATGAGACTATTTATCGAAAGAGAGAGAGTCCTTCACTGCATCAGTTTTGTTCCGTTTCCTTCTTTCTATATTTCTTCCTATTTTTTTACAATTATTCCAACCTATTTTTCGTAGAATCATCTAGGTTGGAAGGGACCTTCAAGATCATCTAGTCCAACCATCAACCCAACTCTGACAAAAAAAGCCCATCACTAAACCATGTCCCCTAACACTATGTCAACCCATCTTTTGAACACCTCCAGGGATGGTGCCTCAACCCCTTCCCTGGGCAGCCCATTCCAAGGCTTGATAACCCTTTCAGTGAAGAAATTGTTCCTAATATCCAACCTCCGGGAAGAGCTTAGGGCCCCTTCCAGTCCCCAAAGGGCCTCCAGGAAAGCTGGGGAAGGACTCTGGATCAGGGAGGGGAGCCCTAGGAAGAGGGGGAAGGGTTTGACCCTGCAAGAGGGGAGATGGAGCTGAGATGTGGGGAAGAACTTGTTTGGTGTGAGGGTGGTGAGAGCCTGGCCCAGGTTGCCCTGAGAAGCTGTGGCTGCCCCATCCCTGGAGGGGTTCAAGGGCAGGTTGGAGGGGGCTTGGAGCAACCTGGTCTGGTTCCACCCCCAGGGCAGGGTGGTGGAACTGGATGGTCTTTAAGTTTCCTTCCCACCCTAACCATTCTGTGATTCTATGATTATAATGTTTGCTTAGAACAGATAATTTTTGGCCTTTACAACAGATCCAAAAGCTGAAATGCCTCTAAAAGAACTCAAGCTCAGACCTTGTGTTGCACATCAGGCAGTTCACCCTTCCTCAGCTACGTCCAGGGGCATTCACCACAAAGCCAAAGGACAGCAGACAGACTAGTTTAACCTACATCAGCTTTTTGCTTGTTCAGGAATTGTTTGTTGGCTTGTTCAGGTGCGGAACGCTGCCAAAATCAATGAAGTTGAGGAGCAAGACCTGCTGCTTTTCAACTACTGTCCTCCTGCCCCTGGGTGTTCCACAGCAGTCCTCAGTGCACGCGGGGTACCCGTTGCAGGAGGTTTTCAAGATGCTACTGGACAGGGTGCTGGATAATCTCATCCAGTCTCCCTTTCCCACAAAAGCTTGGACCACCTCATCTTTCCAGGTCCCTACTGTGACCCTGTGGAGTATCTAGGCATATCTTAATAAAACACTTCTGCACACTACTAGATACACTAAATACTAGATATGGGCTTTATGTAGCCTCTCCTTTATGTGTCCTTCTCTTCTGACTATCAGATGGCCAGGTTCTGTTTGGTGTTCTGACATGCACCTGAGTTATTCTGGTTACACTGGGAAAGGAGAGGAAGCCCTCGCAGAATGATTTCAGTGTGACCAGACAGGTATTTCTCCACTCCCTGGCCAAGAATACATTATCTCTGCCTCTGATATTTCATTCGGGACTTTTCCATCTGGTCTGTGCCAGACACATAGAGTATAAGTAGAGATTTGGTCAGGGTAAAAAACGGTTAACTGCATATGGGGAGCATGGAAAAATCATATTTGCATCCTTTCACAATGCTAAATGTAATGAAGGAACAACTGCTTCAGGCTGAGACTTTGGATTGCAAGGAAAGCTCAAGAAGAAGAGACATAACCATGTTTCGTAACATTGAACCAACGTTCCTCAGGATTTTCAAGAACAGATCTGTCAATTCACTTCTCTGCCCGGGATGCTCTTCTCCACCTTAGTGAAGGATCCCATTATTTCGACAGACATTTTTAGAGAGCACTGGCAGGCATGAGGGCTGGCACCAGAAGTTCATTTGTCTTCTCCTGATTCTATTACACCCAGAGTTCCTACAGAGATCGTCTGGAGCAGCACCACGCAACGATCTCCACCAACAACTTAACACCATCGCATCCTGAGCCCACATGCATCCATCAGTTCAGCTATCCTGGCCACACTATGCCTCTTCACCAGAAAGCAATTCAACTGAGGTTACACCATCTCACTTCAAACAACCTGACCTCCAAATTCTGTTAGAAGTCCTTTAACAGTCTCCCGATTTCATTTCCACAATACCCACCAAAACCAAAAGGCAGAATTCCCATGTCATTGAGCAGATCCTCAGCACCCACCCATGGCACAACCCATCAAGCATTTATTCTCACCAACTATCTTCATTATTTCACTTCAGCTCATCCTCTTGCCTTCTCGCTCACCCACCTTTTCCCTCCATCATTCCCTTTCCCTCCATCATTTTACTCCTCTCCTCACACTGGTTCTTTTGCCTCCTTAAAATGCTAAATCCCTACTTAGCACATTCTCTCCTAAAACCAGGAAACGCACACACACGCACAAATCAACACTCTTAAATTCACAAATAGTAAACTTTGTTGAGCTATGGATTGGTCCCTCTTCAATCAAACTACCCAAATTTTGTTTTATTTTGGATTTTTTAAAAATTAAACACAAATGTAGCATAAGGATAAAATCCATGGAACACAGCTTGCAATTAACAAATTGTTATACCATCCCTGTGGCAAAACCAACCTGTAATTTTCGCAGCCTTTTCCTCTTGATTCACTCTGTTTTCTTCATCTTCTTCGTTGTCTTCCTCAAAATCATCTAGATTTCCAATATCAGCTTGTTTCATACTCATCAAACTAGCCAGGCTTTGCATGTCTTCATCCCTAAACAAAAAATTCCAAACTAGGCATTAAAATGCAGTCTTGTTAATACCAACACCACATCTGACACTACTGCAGGATTAAAAATCTTTTAAGTGCATTTATGATTTCTTTTCTTCAGGGAGGTCTCTGATCTCAGATCTGATCTTAAATATAGGGAGAGAACAAAATGAACACACTCCTGTATATTAATTTCTAAGGGGAAAGTTTTCTACTGACAGAATTCTAAAGGGTGAAACCAGTCTTGCCATGCATTAAGAGTCAATTTAACATTTGTTTCTCAAAATTTTGAACCAGTCAAGAAACGCTACTAAAACATTATCTGGTCTCCTTTGGCTGACATGAAAATGCTTGGTCAGAACCACTGCCCGAATGCTGCACTTATCACCCCACTCATTCATCACTGCTGCTGCTTTCACAGAAATTAAAATCCCTTTTCTAAATATCTGAATTCATTAAGAGATAAAAAAACACTGCATGTCAGTGGCCAATGTCAATTCTTGTTTGACTTTATCTAGTCTGTATATATCTTTGACATAACTGTACCTTCCATGTCAAATATATGTTTTCATCAAACATGACAGCAGGCAAAGGTTCTGAGAAATGGATGTTCTACATTTGTTTCATAAATAAACCAAGACTTTGAAGTACACGATGTCATTCTGGTGGTGACCTCCTCTCTCTTAAAACTGTTTTAACAGGCTTGTTGCGATTAATCACTTTTTTTTTTTTTTTATCTCCTTACAGTAAGAGAGGCTGAGGATTGCCTGGTCAGGGAGCACCTCTGCTGAGAACAGTCTGGGGATGTTGGCGGAGAACGAGTCCAAGGATGTCCAAGGATGTGGAGAGCGAGTCCACACCGTGCCCTGGTGTGGCTAAAGCAGACACACAGCATCCTGAGATGCATTCAAACAAGACCACAACCAGTAGACAGACTGAGGGAAGTCATGACCCTCATTTTCTTGGAGGTTGTTGGACCACATGTAGGGTACTTCACCCAGTGCTGGGTCTCACAGGACCAGAGAAGTGCTGCTAAACCAGAGCACGGTCAGCTGAGGGCCACTGGGGTGGTTGGGGGCTGGAGCACTTGCTCTATGAAGAGAGGCTGAGGCAAATGGACTTGTTGAGCCTGGAGAAGAGGTGGTCAAACTGGCAGCAAGGACCTTTGGAAGGACCTAACAGCAGATTGCAGGCACCTACGAGGATGTTGCTGAGAAGACAGTGGTGCAAGACAGTGACAGAGAGCGAACATAGACTGAAACCAGAGAGGTTCTGACCTGATGTGAGAACAAAGTTGGAAGAGTCATCAACAGCAGCAGGACGGGCTGTCCAGAGGGATGTGTACTCTCCATTCCTGTGGGGTTTTGAGTCCCAGTGGGATAAAGCCCAGAGCAAACTGGTCTGATCCCACAGCTGCCTGCTTTAAGCCTGAGGTTGGACCATCTACTTCTACAGGTCCCTTCCAACCTGAATTACTCTATCTTCTTTGAGGTTGATCATGATAAAACAAGATGCACAGATTTGGTGCCTAACAATGCCAAGAAAACTACACAAGTTATTTTAAAGGTGCCACTTATAGGAATAAAAATGACATACCAATCACACCTCAAATCTGCACAGAAACACAGAGGTGCTTAAAGTATGGGATTAAATTCAATGATTTAACATGTTGTTAAAATCAGAAGTTGTTTGGGGCAATCGTTTGCCACCTTGTGTGTTCAACATAATCAGCACTTCAGAGCCCACAGTTACACAGGACAACTACATACTGCTATAATATGAAAAGTATTAATAAATACAAAATAAGTCATTATCAAGAAGTCAGAAAGATGAAGCTGGTGAGGGGTCTGGAGCACAAGTCTCCTGAGGAGCGGCTGAGGGAGCTGGGGGTGTTCAGCCTGGAGAAAAGGATGCTGAGGGGAGACCTCGCTCTCTCCAACTCCCTGAAAGGAGGGTGTAGCCAGGGGGGGTCGGTCTCTTCTCCCAAGGAACAGGCGATGGGACAAGAGGAAATGGCCTCAAGTTGCCCCAGGGGAGGTTTAGGATGGATATTAGGAAAAATTTCTTCTTCACTGCAAGGGTTGTCAAGCCTTGGAACAGGCTGCCCACGGAAGTTACCACCCCTGGAGGTATTTAAAAGACAGATAGATGTGGTGCTGAGGGACATGGGTTAGTGGTGGATTTGGCAGTGTTGGGCTTGGTGATCTTAAAGGTCTTTTCCCACCCAAATGGCTCTATGAGTCTCACATTCCCATATTCTAGAGACAGAAAGGAAAAGCAATACAGGATGGGTGACAAACAATGCATCCTCCAGCCACATGAAGATGTCAACACCTGACATCTTGAATCTGACAGGGGAGGTTACAGAAGCTCCAAAAATATCCAGTATATTGAGCTCTCCAAAGGCTGGTGACATAAGGGACTGACCCAGGCGAGTGAGGAGTGGGAGCACGATCAGTGCCCAAGCAAACACTTCACAGCATCTTCTCGTGTTCAACCCAAAACCTCACTTCTGTCTCCAGAAGAGAACTTCTCTCTCCTCCCTCACTGGCCTTGTCCTTCTTTCATTCTTTGGGAAACAGGCAACACAGAAATAAGTTCTCCTTCCCACATTTCCCTTGCCGTTGGCTAAGGGCATTGTTGGGTGAACACACACACACACACACACAAAAATGTACACTCCTGCTGATTTCAAACCTGTAGGTATCACTGAGCTGCTGTTATTTAAAATATCTGTAATGGTGGAGGACAAGCTGTTCGACTCTGAAGAACACAAGACTAAAAGCAGAGTGAGAAACAACTCGTACTCAGCTAAGGAACTACGCATGGCAGGAGTGAGAGGTAGGCTGAAGGATGCTCTCAAATTCTGCCATTCCATACAGAAAGAGCTCTTTTCCCAAAGATTTCTTTGGATTTTCCAAAGAATTCTTTGGAAAGCAACCCAAAGCAGGCTATCTGGTCAAAAAACCCCAACCAAACAAAGCACAAAACGACTTACGTGGCTTTTCCTTCCCTCAGGAAAATACAAGATAACGAGAACTGTAGTGTGGCAGACACCACTTTCTTGGACAAAGGCTTGAATTTTAACTTGACGTCAGTCTGGGTGGGCATGGGGCTGGCGTATTGCTTCATGTTGATGCTGCTGGTGGCAAGGGCTTTTCTGCGTCCAGAAGGAGATTCCTGAAAGCAAGAGAAAACCCAAACTGAGGTAAATGGTGCTGTTGCACTAAATGTGTGTGCGCGTGGAACGAAAAATACACTTATTAAATCTGCATCATTCTTTTTTTCAGGTACACAGACAGCAGGCACGGCCATGGTTCTTCCTAGAGACAGAAACCCGTTTCTCACACTAGGTCTGGTGCCTCTTTGAACGTTTGCTTAGTCCAGTGGAGGGAAAAAGGAAAGGTTATTTGTTGTGATTAGTGGTCTTCCCTAGGAGACCCCACGTTCAGGTTTTTAAGGGCTTGAGCCTGTAGTAGCATCCATGGCACACATCCATATGAGCAAGTGGGAATGTATCTCCCTTCCTTCTGCTGGCAAACTGGGCTACTCCTGTCCAACCGTGGGTAGTCCTGGACGAGGACATCCATCACGGGTTTCAGTTATGCATCTGTTCCTTTAGGTAATGGCACGAGGCCATCGCATTAGTATTTTGAATTGCTCTCTGTGTTCAACCCTCAAATATCATGCCTGAGTACTTTTCAAAGCAACTACATTTCTCGTCAGTGCTTACATGGACTATCAAGAGTGACAGGTTTCTGAAATTAAAGTTGAGAATGCGCCAAAAAAGGTCGATAAAAATTTTGCAAGGAAGAAAAAAAGCAGGCAAGATAAGAGAAAGATAAAAGTCTAAGTTGTATTTCGACATAAAGGCGTTGCTCACCGTTTAAGGATTCAGACAAAATAATCTCAAATGCATCTAAGAATCTACTCTCTTGTTCCATCCAATATTAGCATCAGCAGCAAAGGAACAATGTAAGAAAGCTCCAGGAACAAAAATAAAACAAAAAAATCCCTGCTGTTAACTCTTTTGAAAAAATGTCCTCACAATAAGACTACATTTGACTGCAGTTGACAATTTGTGGGGAATAAAGAAGACTAATTCAATCAAAACATTCAAGCATCCTTTTTCAAAGCACTTGACATTTCCGCCCAGCAGAATAAGTCAGAATGTAATATGTCATCCCCAAAGAATACCTTGCTTAAAGAAAACCTGGCCTTATCTGTCAGATTATGCACAGCAATATTATACGGAACTATTAGTGCATGTAGATACCTTATGAATGAATTTCAAAAATGCATCAAACACTCGAGGAGGATTTAGGGCCTCTCAGAAGAAATACTTAAGGATATGCAAATACCCTCCACTGAATCACGTTGAGCAGATGCGACTTTGGCAAACAATAGGAGAGCTCCTTCCCCAGCCACCTCCGGCAATCACGGGGCGAGATTAAGGTCCCAGGTTCTGACAATGTGTGAAATGGAAAGTACCGATGGGGGAGTTTCAACCAGGACACAGAGAGGAACAACAATCATCTGTCGCCGTACCCGACCGTTGGAATAACCGAACATTACGACTCGTTAGAGCCAAGGCAAGATTTGATGGGGCGCCGGAGACACGGAGCTTCTGGTCTGTGTTTTCTCCAGGTAACCAACCACAAGCAGTCTGCCTCTGAATCACAACCTGTTTCTCAGCCAAATTTTCAATATTCATTCATGTAAAAGCAGTGGGCAGGGTGAATAGGAAGAAAGGTTGCTTAAGCCTCTTTCAGTAACTTATTTCTAAGTATCTTTAGAGAAAACTGGCATATATCATGTGGTGTGCAAATACTTATGCAACGGGCATGGTAACAACTGCTTATCAGAGCATGGTTTGGGTTGGAAGGGACCTTAAAGATCATACGGTCCCACCCCCTGCCCTGGGCAGGGACACCTCCCACCAGACCAGGTTGCTCCAAGCCCCCTCCAACCTGCCCTTGAACCCCTCCAGGGATGGGGCAGCCACAGCTTCTCGGGACAACCTGGGCCAGGCTCTCACCACCCTCACACCAAACAAGTCCTTCCCCACATCTCAGCTCCATCTCCCCTCTTGCAGGGTCAAACCCTTCCCCTTCATCCTAGGGCTCCCCTCCCTGATCCAGAGTCCCTCCCCATCTCTCCTGGAGCCCCTTGAGGGACTGGAAGGGGCTCCAAGGTCTCCCCGGAGCCTTCTCTTCTCCAGGCTGAACCCCCCAACTCTCTCAGCCCCCCCTCCCAGCAGAGGGGCTCCAGCCCTCCCAGCATCTCCGCCGCCTCCTCTGGCCCCGCTCCAACAGCTCCATGTCCTTCTGCTGGTGGTGGCCCCAGAGCTGGAGGCAGCACTGGGGGGGTGTCTCCCCAGAGCGGAGCAGAGGGGCAGAATCCCCCCCTGGCCCTGTTGGCCACGGGGCTGGGGATGCAGCCCAGGATGGGGTTGGTTTCTGGGCTGCCAGGGCACGTTGCCGGCTCGTGTTGAGGTTTTCATCCACCAACACCCCCAAGACCTTCTCCTCAGGGCTGCTCTCCATCCAGAGATGATCCATTCGTGACTCTGAGTGGTGTCAGACATCCCAAAAGTCACTCTATAGGAAGTGCCACCTGAACATCAAGCCGTGCCTCATGTGCAGGATCTGCACGGCCACATTCCAAGAAGAACATGAAGCGATGCTATGAACCACCAAGCTTCTCTAGCCATCATTCCCACCTTTCTCCCCTAAAGCAGACCTTTCACAGCAAATGGGACTAAGCCGCTCTGCCAAAGGAACAGACAATCTGTACCACCCCCGTGAAACAAACAGCCTATTTTCGGGGGGAAGATGGTGATGGCAGATGACAGACCCGTGCTATCAAACAGTGCCCAGCTCTCTGCTCAATCAAACGAGGAAAAAGAGTCCCATCTCCATATGAAAGGTTTGAACTCGGACTCTTCATTTAAAAGAGACCCAAAGAAAGCAATAATGCAAATTTCATGCAGCCTTCTTTCCTTAAAAATGTATTTTTAATGACCTTGTGTCCTGTAATTACCAACTGCCTGGTACTCCTTCCTCGGGTTAATATAAGAAGTGAAAATAAGTAAGAAACAGCTTTGTAATTTCTGTTAAAACGTGCTTTACACCTTCAGAGTTACACATAATCAAAACACTGGCCAGGTTTTCACAGAATCACTGAATCCCATGGGGTCGGAAGGGACCTCTGGAGATCACCCAGTCCAACCCCCTGCCAAAGCAGGTCCACCCAGAGCAGGTCCCACAGGAACATGTCCAGGTGGGGTTTGAATGTCTCCAGAGAAAGAGACTCCACCACATCCCTGGGTAGCCTTTGCCAGGGCTCTGCCACCCTCAAAGTGAAAAAGTTCCTCCTCATGTTTAGGTGGAACTTCTTATGTACAAGTTTGTGCCCATTTCCTCTTGTCCTGTCCCTGGGCACCACTGAAAAAAGACCGGCCCCATCCTCCTGACACCCTCCCTTTAAGTATTTATAAGCATTGATCAGATCCCCCCTCAGCCTTCTCTTCTCCAGACTAAAAAGACCCAAGTCCCTCAGCCTCTCCTTGTAAAAGAGATCCTCCAGCCCCTCATCATCTTTGTAGCCCTCTGCTGTCCCCTCTCCAGCAATTCCCTGTCCTTCTGGAACCGGGAAGCACACCTGTACTGAGAAAACAGGGGAAAACATTGCCATTCAGCAGAAACCAGAGCAAAAAGTACAGTGGTTCTCTATTATTTAGCTACTAAATGGTCCCTCTCTTATAGAAATGTATGAAATGACGTGTAAGCGCTGTAGAAACATGATGCAAAGAAAGGACCTAACTGGGGAGGACAAGTTTCCTAATTGGATATTGTCATTTTGTCACAAGAAACGATGAGTTTTGACTGTCTTTCTCCTGGAGAAGGAAGATGTAGGGCGTAATATTTTTAGAGGCTGCCTTTTCACGTTTTATAGAAGCGAATGCTGAAGAGCCCCCAAAGATGGGCAGATGTTAAATCAGAGCCTTCTGCTGCACACTCGGGCACGGAACGACCAGACAAAGCCATTTCTCCAGCTGTAAAAACCCCACGAGAGGAGCAAGTCTTAAGGCTTTCGCTCACCTTTTTTGCTTGGGAATGAAATGGAGAAGGTTTTGAAGGGAAGGTGTCCTCTGGCAGAGTCACTCCTCCTCTTCCCCCCACCCCAAACTCCCCAGCAGAGAGAGGAGAGGGGAGAGTGGCCCCGTTGGGTGCCAGCCCCACCGCCCCAGCCGCAAGTGCCACCTCCCCAAGATGAAAAGATCACTGCTTCACCGGCAGAGCAAGAGGGATCGCTACAGAATTTAATTTGTGAGAGTGTACAGCAATTAAATGCTAAAATAGACAAGCTACAGGGAGCTCTCTCAACTGGAGAGAGTAAATTAGAAACTATGTCAGTTAAAATAATTTAGACAGTCGGATGGGAGATTTGGAGGGGCCGAATGCAGGCGGCACGATCTGCACTGAAAACTTGTTTAAAAGCAAATAATGGTTCAAGGTATCCAAAACATTATTAAGAATTAGGATGCATTTGAATGGAGAATTTAATGTTTAAAAAATTCTGCACACACCAGAAAAGTCTGAGCCCGAGACAGGAGGACTGGGAAGGAAATTAAAAAATATAGAGATGTTGAAACAGCTACACTTGATTTTATATTTTTTAATATTTATGCATTTATTTGTGATGCTGACAAAGTGACCATTGTCCTTGCCAGACTGGGTCAAATTATCATACTGGGTATGGAAACTTGTGTTTCCAAAACACCAACAAGATGGTTTTTAGAGCACATCCAGACTGAGGAGCCGTTATGTTGGCAGCGGAACGCACTGCTTCTTACCCAGCACCAGAGGAGACAACATGGTCAGAGAGCAAAAAGAAAATACAGTATCCTCCTACAGCTCTTACCTTCTCATGGTCTGCTGTTAGGAGAGCACCCCGAGAGGGAATGGTCCCTTCTCACCAAGATCATCCCCGTGGGTGTCGCTCACACAACCTGCTTCATCTCCCCAGGCTCTCCCTCTCAAAATCTCCAAAGATCAACAGCAGACAGGAAGGTTAAGAAGTGAAATGATACCCCATAAATGGAGGCAATTCATGGACACTATGCAAAGTGCCACCAAGAAAATTGGGAGGTCCTCTTTTGCTAAATAAAATACCAC